ACAAAATAAATCAGATCAATAAACACCAAAGGAAATAAGAATAAAATAATAAAAGGACCAAAAATGCCGCATGAAATTAAAGAAAAAGAGCAAGAAGAATAAAAGAAAATAGACATAAAACCACAAAAACTTCAGTAAATAAACAAGTTAAAACAAGAAATTGCAAGAAATTATCTGAAAAACTTCTACCGTGGATCCACATGTGGTTCTGAAAGGGTTTTCTTTTTGAAATATAATAATAATAATAAAACTTACACAATATTAATATATGAAGAGCCTTAAAGAGCACAAATAACAGCTTAGCAAAGGCAGTAAGACATTAAAAAGGGTAATAATATAATATGACAAAAGACATTATAAAACACCAGATAAATTATTATACAAATGGCTTTAAAAGCTGGTTGAGCCGCTGACTGACGTTCTCCAGAGCATTACAGGGATTAAAACGGTAAAAGCGCCGCCTCCCATCGATAATAATCATTTCTCGTCGTGCCTCATTTGTTGTTTTAGCAGAACAGCGACAGATCTGCAGGTTTGAGCTTCTCAGACGTTTTTCGTTGCAGTAAACTGATTATTTTTGGGTGTTGGAAGAACAAAACAAGACATTTATTGACGTTATAATGAGTGTTCTTTACGTTTTATAGATGAACGTGTAACGACGAAAACAATCAGCTGCAGCTGCAAACTCAGCCTTTTGTGGCTTTGAAACACCTTCACGTGTTCCAGTTCAGTGAACCTCAGGCTGCCTTTATGGCTTCAAAAATAAAACACAAACGTACGTGAGCATCAAACTTTCATGACTCACTGTGTTGTCATGAAACTTTTATACAAACAAAGTGCTGTCGGAGTTTGTACATATTTCATATTTTACTTATGTTACTGCATCAGTGCTATTGTTCAGATTTAACGTCTCTGATGCTTTAAAATCAGTTTTTAACAACCAGACTAAACATCTGATCATATTCCTGCTTTAACTCGTCTCTACAGAACTCACCTTTGTCATCAGCAGCGCCGGATGTTTGGATTGATTCAGTGAAAACCTGTCAAAGAGAGAAAATAAGCCGATAAACCAGGATTTTCTGGGATTATCCTGACTTTACTGATCTTTAACGACCTCAGTATCAGTCTATCTCCAAACTAGCCTGTTTCTCACTGACGTACAACTCGCCTGTCCTGACAAAAAAAAATGCACAAAAGCATGAATTCTATGTGCTAGAAGCTGATTAACAACCACGTTATCATAAGACCTGCTGTCTGCAGTCGAGGATGAGGACCAGTACATGACCCAGGTGAAAGCTTTTAAAGCCATAAAACCAGTTTTCTCCAAATAACTGATTTATAAAGTGATTGTTTCTAACAGAAGTTTGTCGATGCTGCTCTGTGACGGTTAAAACGTGACCGAACCACCTTTCTGGGATTGTTTTGCTGTTAAAGACCTCTGCAGAGAAGCACTCGGCGTCCTACGAGACGGACTTGAAACGCTCCTGGAAAGTAGTTTTATGGCTATATGCCTCGAGGATGGTTAAAATGGGGATGAATATTTAATGAATGTATTGTTGGTGGCTGCTAAAAAAGAAGAGAGCATGGTTATGGTGGACGTCTATAAAATGAAGAAGATACCAGCCATCATAAATCTGAACTGTTTGCTTCCCTCTTGGAAAAATGGGTCGACCGTGTAACACCCTCAGGTCTTAATGTTGTTAACTGATGAGGATATTGTAAAGGATATAGCTGTTGTTGTCTATGTGTGTTTGTGTTCTTCTTGTGTCTGCTAATAAAAAGTAAATCACACATTTTTAACACCACAGTTACTCGTCTCAGTGCCAACAGTGCGTAACTTTAGGAAATGTCAAAAGGAGTTCCGCAAGGTTCGATTCTGGGTCCCGTCCTCTTCATAGTTTATTAATGTTGTTGTCGTTATTATCATCAAATTATTTAATTAATACTGTTGTTATAGTTAATAGCATTCAAATGTATATTATTAACAAAAGAAAAAAGATCTGGTCTTAAAAATAAAAAAAGTAGACGATGGGAAACACTGTCCTGCTCTGTACGTTGAGTCATTCAAAACATCTGATTCTGTCGACCACAACGTACTGAAGCACAGGTTACATAATATTGATGACATGTGTTTTAAATGGTTCCACAGTAACTTGTCTCAGTGCCAACAGTGTGTAACTTTAGGAAATGTCAAAAGGAGTTCCTCAAGGGTGGCACCAGCTAGCTAGCTTTGCCAGTGTTGCTAAGCATCCTTAATTTTTGGTGATTTTACGTCGTCCTCGGCTCATCAATTCACAACTAACTGGCAATAATCAAACAGTTTTTCTGAAATAAAAAACATTAAAAATAAAAATTCTGGACAAACTATCAAACATTTATGTTGCAGTTAAAGTCGAAGCAACATCAAAATGTGAAAATAAAGTTAATCTTAAACATAAATAACACATGTGGGTCTTTGGCTACATAAGATTTTACATTTAGTTTTACAAAAATAAAGTTATCGTCTGTTTTGATTCGATCATCATATTGTTTTTTTTCACCTGAATCATACTTTTTGTGCACATCAGGACAAACAGGAACCTTCAGGGAACGTTCCCCTGAAACATCTTTAAACGCCACAGAGAGTAAAAGACACAGTTTGAGGCTTTATGTGACCTTGAAGCAGCAGCAGATGTTTGGTTTGTTGCTTCCAGGACTAAATCCTCTGATTTATTAAAACCTGCAGCATCAGGATGAACATGAGGGTCTTCAGAGCCTCAAGAAAACTGATAATTTTAAACTATCCCTGACATGGAGACAAGATTCATCAGGATGAAACATTACTGGGAACTCCGCTTGACCTCAGACAGCTGCAGGTGAATCATATCAGATATTAGTTTACTGTAAAGGTCTGATCTGTTTCCTAAAGTCAATATACTTTTCTGTCATATTAAGTTTTGTTATCAGGGACATTTGGCAGAACATCACCTCTCTAAATATCAACACATCTGACCACAGGCAGCCTAACAACAATGAAAACTCATCTTATTCAACCATAATTTGCTGTAATTTGTTAAATTGTCATCACACATGGACAATATTTTAAATACTTAAACCATAAATAAACCCTTAGTTGAATTTCCCCTAAAATTAAGCAGCATTTCTTCTCCTGGAATATGTTTTAACTTTAACAAATAAGCAAAATTATAAGCAAATAATCGTTGGCTGTAAAACAAAGTGTGCCAAATGTTGTTTCTTAATGTTCTTTGAATCTAGAATTCCTGATCAAGACATGAAGACCCCCATCTGGTCCCCATGTTCAACATTTCTGTGCCAGTAAACCAAACCCTCACCTGTTATCAGTCACAGCAGCTGTTCCTGTCGCACCGGCGCGTCTCCGTCTCCTCTCACACCGACATCAGCGCTTCATTCCTGCGGCTCCGTGCTCAGATTCTGTCCCTTCAGCTGGAGAAAAACGCCCGAGAGACGGTGAAACCTTCAGGAGAATGCGGCGCGTTTGTTTCTGTCACATTTCTGGGCTGTGGAGTCGCCCAGCAGGAGCCGCGTCTGGTGCGTCTTTGCGCTGCGCCGGAGCCGTGCGCACTGGTGCACTGGAGCCCGCACTTCCTCAATACTTGGGTAAGAAGAAAAAAATAAAAAAAAAACATCGCTTTATATTTAATGAGGCGACGCAAGAAGTGACGCCGGAGCTGATTCACGCCTCTTTCTATTTATTACACCCAAATACAGGATTATAGGCTGAGTCGGTTCAGACAGAAAGTATAGAAAAAAATAAGATGCTGCCTCAGAATGTGTTCAGTCCGCATAAATGTGTTCATTTAGGTCAAACACGGATATTTACAAAACGTTTTTTACTTTTTCAAACCTTTAAAATTCTTAATTTTTCATTTTTTAGTTCAAGTTTTAGCTCGAAATCCATTTTCAGAGCCCAAATCTCCAGAATAATAACAAGAAATTTGGCGAGGAAGTGGACAAAATAGTTTCCATCAGATCCAAAATGATGAAATGGCTCCAGCAGATGATAGATTTTTAAATATTGGTCTGTAAAAATAGAAATAAAACAAAACCAGGGTGTTTTTGAGGCCTTAGACAGCTTTGTGTAGACTTATCGGTACTTCCTGTTAAACAATGAAGAGTTTGTTTTTTATTTGGGAGAAAAAACTAAGTTGAGTCAAATATTTTGTCAGAATTTTGACACTTTCATGTCTGTAGAGCTGAGAGTTGTTGTATTTTACCTGGGAGACCATATGTAGGGTTCAATATCTGAGGAAATATAATAAAACTGTGTTCAGCAGACACAGTTATTGATTATTGGTCCCTGAAAATGGGGGGAAAAGGTGCTTAATTTACAAACGAGGATGGTTTTGGAGCCCCAGAAAGTTCCTGTAAGTGCACATATATGGATTTATTGATATTTCCTACTAAAAATACAGTTATTGGTCCATATTTCAAGTGTATGTGAAGCAAAATTACCTTAATGTCATGCAAGCTTTACCTAAACAAGAACTAACCAAGTTCTGAATTTGGAGAATTTCATTTGTTTTCAAAACCTGGGATTTTTTGTATTATCACCCTCATATGGGAGGCCATGTTTAGGGTTCAATAGCTGCAGAAATAAAACTCCCACAGACATGAAGTTCAATAAAGACACAGACTGAATGGTTCCAGCTGAGGACACTTTCTAAATTATTGGCCCTTAAAAATGGAAAAAAGGGGCAAATATTTCAAACAGGGGTGGTATTGGAGCCCCAGAAAGCTCCTGCAAATGTATATATATGGATTTATTGATATTTCCTACAAATCTACCTTAATGTCATGCAAACTTTACAAGAACTAACCACGTTCTGTAAAATATGTTGGCTGAATTTTCAGAATTTATTTTTTCAGACCTATGAATTTTTGTATTATCCCTGTCATATGGGAAGCCATATTTAAGGTTCAGAAACTGTAGAAATAAAAATCCCCCAGACATGAAATTTGATGAGAAAACAGAATTGTTTTCAGAATGGTTCCAGTTGAGGACATTTTTTAAATTATTAGCCCTTAAAAATGGAAAAAAGGGGCAAATATTTCAAACAAGGGTGTGACTGGAGCCCCATAAAGTTCCTGTAATTGTATATTTATACGGATTTTTCCATATTTTCTACTAAAAATACAGTCTTCAGTCGACATTTCACTAAATTTTGAGGCTTCCAACATCAGTAGAATTTAATATTTGGCAAGTATGACAAGGTTCGAGTTTCTTTTTCACTATTTTGAAAAACTATTGAAGTGGACTCATCAGTAGGAGACAGAACCTGGTGTTCATAGTTTCTATACGTTGTGATTATATGTGCAACGTTACAAGCTGCTTCCATGTTGGACTTTCACAACATATTAACAACACACCTCGTCTTGTCACACATCAGATTCTCCTGAGAGGCCTCAACAGTCTCTATTTTTAGTAGGAAACATTCATATATTTACACTTAGAGGAACTTTCTGGAGCCACAACACCACCAGGGTTTGAACATTTTGCACTTTTTCCCCCCATTTTCAAGCACCAATAATTAAAGATTTGTCCTCTTTAATCACTTGGATGTGCTCCAAACTATTGTCTCAGCAGACCTCGTGGCTGAAGGATGAATACTTCTGGAGATACCGACATCTTAAAATAGCCTTCTGGGTAAGACGTGTGTGTGTGAGAGTGAAAATAAAAATAAAAGAAAAAATCCCCTCGGCTAAATTCAGCTGAAATACTTCACAGAACTTACGTTTTGAATCCCAAATAAGAGAAGAACAGAAGAAGTGATGAAACAAAACAACGCCGGAGACAAAATGGCTTAAAAGTGTCTGTTGTCGTTTTTAATATCTCCCCCTTAGTTTTAGGCAACACTACAAAGACATTCAAATAATAGGACAGCAAACGTTCACACTTCCTCGTCGAAACGATACAAAACAGACTGCGACATCCTTCGGAAATAAAATTAGTCATATATATATATGTATATATATATGAGGCTCTTAAATGAATACGAAACTAAAATAATGCACAATAATTCTCTCACATCAACTTTTCAAGCCGGAGTTGTGCAACAGTCCCTTCCTTGTGAAATCAGATGAATACAGTACTAAGCAGACAGAAACTCAGTCCTCTGTAACACACCACACGTCGCAGGCACAAGGAAGAAAGCCGACAAGGACCGGGACAGTTTGATCGTTACAGTAGATATTCAGTCTTATTTCTAAAGCTTCTCTCCTCCTCCTCCTCTAACCACACTCTGGAAGAAGAAAAAACAAAATAAAGTTTACTAGGCATATTCTTTAAATGATAAAACTATGGCTGCATACATTGTCATCTCTTAAGTGCTTCATTCCCTCAGCATGCTACTGTGCAATACAAGACGCCTCTCCTCACATTCACTCTCCGGCGTGGCCTCCGCACAAAACCCGGTGGGGGATGTTGCACAAGTTTTGCAGAGTTAGTCGGGTTTTTATTTGTGACACGTATTCGAGGGGAAGTTATTTTTAGTTTGTTTTCGGGGCCTTTGGTTGGAGTCTAATCTCCCCACAGGAAGCTCGACAGCGAGAGTCGCTTCTGTCACCTTTAGGCACAGTGAACGTAGCGGCGGTTCTGCGGCCTCCTCCGAAGCCGCCGCCGGCCGTTCGTTCATTAGAGTCGGGTTGGTCAAACCGAACTGGCCTGAGGAGCAGCAGAGTTCAGCCTTTTTAAACTGCACCGGAGCCTTTAACATCACAGACAACAACACGCCTGCAGTGTGAATAAACGAGAGAGGGATGGTCAGTAGTTAGTGTGCCGCGATACTGGAATGGAATGATGCAGTCGGTAATAGTCATGGTTCTGGTTCTGGTTGTTTTACTGATTTACTCTGCACACTGTAAGATACACTACACCTGCATGAAATCACTATACGGGAGAAGGAATTGCAGTACAGATCCTCAAACTTCAGTCCCTAGCCTCCTCCTCCTCGTCTCAGTTCAAGGGTCGACATGTAACATGTAGAGTCAAAGTTATATTCATATGTGTATAGCTGCGTGTTAAGATTGTTTCCAAGATAAGAAAAAGTTTAAATTTGTGACATTCTACCAGTCTCTAAACTAGCAAACGCCCCGCCGCCGAGGCGGAGGTCAAGCGCTCGCCGCCTCCTCCTTCTTGTCCTTCTTGCCCTCGCCTTCGCCCTCGCCCGTGTCGCTCACGTCCCGTCGCCGTTTGCGGTTGCGGGCGCTGGCTTTGGACGCCGGCAGCGACTCCATGCCCAGGACCTTGTGGATCTGACGGAAGGCGAGCAGCCGCAGGGCGTGCTGCAGGCGGAGAGGGAAAGGAAGAGTTGGTAAAGCTGCAGGCGACACTTGGCCGCGTTGGGATGTGCGATCGAAGTGTTCGTACCTGAGCGCTGGCGGTTATGTCCTCCCGGGCCTGAAGCACCATGCTCTCCAGGGCGTCCGTCGGCTCCTTCTCACACGGATCCATCAGACCCGGTCCGTCTGGGGGAGGAGATGAGAAAACAGACGATTAAAAGTGATGCAGAAATCAGAAGCAGAAGTTTGTGAATCCCTTCATAGCTTTCGAGTTTGACAGACATTTACTTTGTAGAACCACAGATCAAGACCCAGATTTACAAAAAACTAAAATAAAAATAAAACTTTTTCTTTAGGTGATAAAACCTCTGTACTGGGAATAAAGACGAATGTCCTTGTCAATCAAATAAAAATTTTAATTCAGACTCGTCCAAAAGTCAGAAAACATTTAGAAGTTAGCACAGTTTAATCAGTACGGTCGTCTCTCTGATTGTTAAACAATTATTTCTCTTTTTCTGCCTCTAACAACTGGATTCAAGGTTGTTTTTTTGCTGTTTGTGCACAAACAGACAGTCGAGGGGAGTTGGAGTTTCTCTGCAGGTCTCTCTTGGAGTCGAGTGAAGTCAAGACAGGTGAGCAATAAAAAAAAGAACTATACAATTAAATAAGAGTAATCAAAGACAAAAAATATAATAAATAAATGTGAATGCTGCACAAGGAGCTGGTGAACTAATACACCATGCTATATTCTGTTGTCATCTTGGTGTCACTGTGGGAACTTTTTAAACGATAACAAGACTTTTAAGAGGGTTTAACACGGTTTTGACAACATTAAATCTAGTTTTCATTAAAACCATATTTTAAATGCAGCTGAACTTTGCGCATGAAGACTCCTCGTTATCCTACAGAACATGACAACAACCCACCCAGTAAACTGGAACATTTATATAAATCCTGGGCAGGTTAACGTCTACGTGCAGCTACAGCTGAGTGCTTATCCCAGTTTACTCAGGTACAGCTTTGTTTTTTACTTTCTAGACCAAAATGCAGCCAAACGGTGACGGTTTCATGAGATGTCATGTGTCTCACTCTCCAGATGTTTGGTTTACAACATCCAGCCATCAGCTCCTAGACAGTGGGGCTACGATCTGCCCTCGTAGATTATTAACAATAACATGATCAGTATTTCTGGTGCAGACCAGCGAGGGCAGGAAGTGTTTATAATCTTTATCTAACGTGTGTTTCTGACCTGGCAGCAGGATGCCTGTGGAGATGCACTCCAGGACTCTGCGCATGGCTTCTCCTGGACTGAGCGGACCTGTGGCGCTGCTGATCACCTTCTCCACCAGCAGCTCCATCGCCTGCACACACACAAGACAGGGAAATGAGAAGAGACGCTCCAGAATGTGGACATTTATTCTCTCTGTGTCCCGTTATCACTCCGCTGCAGGGAGTAGAACGTCCCGGCTTCTTTGCATTTCTTTAAATCAATCCCAGAGGGTGGAGCTATGTGATGGATGCAGCTTTAGTGTTTCCTCAATAGTGATGGATGGATTTGTTTTGGTGGATAATTTGCATGCTGGAAGGCGAGAACTGTAATTAAAATGGATCATCCAGTGAAAAACTAGCAGAACGGCCTCACTGCATCATTCAAACTGCAGGAAAACGTGAAATTTTCAGCGTGGTAGTTTGGTAAAGTGGATTCGTTGAGTCAGATTAACGTAAATCATGACCTACAGTTACTTTTTCATGTCTTGACTTTTCATAAAACACTCGATCAGGACGTTTGTTGTGCTCGAACCATCACCTCACATGAGATCCTGTTCTGTTTCAGTACAGATTGAATGCCTGCAAATGCACTTTTTATGATGAAACCAGACTGAATATCTTATAAAACATTAAAGTAAAAGTCCGAACATGGCAGCAGCTGGATCCACTCACCCAGCAGGGCATCTTCCCCCACGTAGGAACCCGCTGACATAAATCTCTCAGCACTCGGATGATGATCACGCAGGACTGCAGGCCGTTCGCACGAGCCTTCGGAAATGAAGACAAAGGACATTAAAAACAACACAGGGGCATTTATTCTACATATAATATGCATTGGCCTGATTAAAACTACAAATCTGTTTCACCAGGAGAGAGTTTAATCAAAAAAAAAAGAGGAAACTGAAGCACAATTTGCATCATTTCTGTTCCTCTGCGGATTTGTTTAACCGTCAAACCCAGAAAATCTCCTCAATATGGAGCAATTTCCACGTTATGATGTGAAACTCGTGTGGCGACGATATTCTGAATAACAGCAGCACTCGTTACCGGCGAAGAGGAACAAAACAGAAGTTCCCTCAGAAATAAGGAAACTGCAGAAATCTGGAGCGCCACGCTGCCGTTTGGTTTGTGTTTCTGCAGAGCTGCACGTCCAGCTGAATCCCGTCCCGTCGCTGGAATGTAAAATCCCATCATCTGGGTTTTTTTGCAGCATTTTCTTATCAAACTGCTGAACTGCCGGCTGAAGGTTTTAGATGTTCCACAGCAGTGAAGCTCACTTTGTTTCCTGCACTCTGGTGGATGTTTAAGCACCAATTTGGTCAATTTTTCTGCATCAATTTATGGTAGAAATGTCTGTATTTATGTTCAGAATATAAATAAATACGATATATTCCTGCTCTCAGGCATTCTGTGTCGCGTTCATGTATTTATTTTTTCTTTGGATCAACTTTTCTTGTTTGACATCGTCTCTGCTGAGGCTGATTTCATCATCTATCCTCTTTGTTTGCTCTTTAAATCTGCATCTGTTCAATGATAAATTCGTTTCTTTTAATTAATTTATAAACTGCTGGACTTTAACTCCTGTGAAATTAATCAGAAATGACTTCTGTGCAGGATGACACAGTTAGAACGCCACCAATAACACAAACTTTTGAAATTTGGGGAAAAAAATGGAATCATGATGCACAATTTTTCCCCAAGTGCCCACAAAGCGCCTCTACATACTAGAGATAATTCATTAGCTATATTTTTGTAAACACTGCCTGTAATTTAGCCAAAAATTCTCTTTTTTTGTCTGCTGGTCACAGCTGAGTCACTGATGTCGTCATTGTTGTGCTGAGAAGTGCAGAAGTTTTTGTGTTTTTAAATGGAAACAGTTTATTATTATTTCAAATTAAAAATTAGACACGTAGAATAAAGTCTAATTCATTAAATTTTACAATTTTAAGCTCAGATTTCTTTTAATATCCAGACAGAGGGGAACAAGGAAGGAAGGAAAGCTGTAAAATCATAGGATTCGTTCTGTTTTTACATTTTCTGGCTTCGATAAACGGTTTGGTTTTGGGGAAACTCAGGTTTTAGGGTTTGGAGGGTTAATAACTCAAATTCGGTTCGATTTCTCCTCTTGTTCAGCTCATTAAAACACAACGTCTGTGTTTTTGAGGATGATTTTTATCTGAACTCTGCTACTACACCCGACTAAAATCCATCTACAACACATTAACTGATTAAAACAGTGAATAAATCTGGACGAGACTTTGATCAAATCTATAAATAATCCTGCAAAACCAGCACTTCTGTTCACACAAACATTACAACACTAGGGGCTCTGACTCGCTCGGCTTTGGGATTTTTTTCAGAGAAAAACGTCTGTTTCACTTCTGCAGAATTACAGAAAATATTCAGCGGCTGCATGAGCTCATAATTCAAGCTCGTATGTCAGGAATAAAGAAACGCTCCCGTCGCCGTGTGAGGAACTGATGAGTCTGAGTAACGTAGCTGTGGTTTTATTATCAGCTCTCCGTCTCCTTCATGCTTAATAGTAGCACATTTAGCTGATCTTCAGTTCAGCTAACTCGTGTGGCTACTAACAAGTCAATCTGAATTATTTCCACTCTTTAGATCCATTTACCTGAAACCATTTGGCGTGACGCAGAGCAGCCAGATACTCCAGACATTTCCTCTTATTCAGGAGATCAGGAGGATCTTTCTCAGCCACACCTGTGGGAAACAACACGGACTGACTCATGACTGACAGTAAAAAAAACTGGCAGCAGAAAGCCCACATGAGCATTAAGTGTCGATGTCGGGGACGAGATAATCACTGGACGATCAATGTGTGACCGGACATTCCCATCAGTCCTTAAAAATATTCTGGTTTGTTTGGTGAGAGAAAAAAAATAATAATGAGGGGAAGATGTGAAAGAACAAGGCAAAAAGGAAGAACAGAGGGTTTCTGTTTCACACATTTTCTGAGTTAGAAAATAGCAAAAAGAAAGTCGTAGAACAGCACCGGAGTGTCGTTCAGAGGGGAGGGTTACATGTAAAAAAGAAGGAAATCCAAGTGATTCAGAGGGAAGAGCGGCGGCGTTTTCATCTAACGTTTAGGCGACTGTGTCCCGCTGCGATGCCTCTTTCTCTAGAAAAACATCATGACTCGTCAAAGGCGGACGTAACTAATAAAATTCAGAGTGTCTGCGTCGCTTTTGGGCGTTTCGTGAGCTCGCAAAACGCAACAGAGACACGCCGGACGTTATTGCTCACGTCGTTCTCGCTGTGACGCGTCAAAATGTTTGCTGCTAGAAAAAAGGCACGAAGCAAACTTTTAACTCTGAAAACAAACGTCAGCTTCTTTTTTCTAGATGTTTGGAGTATTTAACAGAGCGGCACCGGCGTCGTGCTCTTCGTGCAACATTAGACAAGAACAGTATTTACATCAAGACGTGACCTGATGAACTCTGAGTGTTGTGGATTTCCTCTTTTTTTTTTTTTTGCATTTGCACAAGAAGCCGACTGACGCAGAAGATGCGTCTGATCAGAATTTCTGGAACTTTATCTGTTTGCAGAATTACCTGATAGAAATAATCTGCTGCCGTCACGTTTAAAAGAAAACGTCTGCAGCAGATGGAGATCAGAACGGCTCGGAGTGATTCTAAGATAACGTCAAACACCAATTTGTTAATTTAAATTATTAGAACTTGACATGTTTGTTCAACATGCTCGTGTCTGTGTTGGATTTAGATGTTTATGAATTTGTAAAAAAAAAAGGAGAAAATAAAGATTGTGGACAGAATTTGAGGACACTTTTTTTTTTTTTAAAGACTGACCACCTAAAAATGACAAATGACATTTTTTTTTTCTCCAGAACAGCCGATGTGGTTACGGGAGACTGTGATGAAGTAATAGTCGAGCCGTGGGGCTTTCCACACTTCCATGTTCACTAGAAGTGCAGCAACAACACAGGAGATTAGCCTTCTCACAGGGGAAATACAGAAAACAAAAAAACAAAGCCACCTTTTTCTCTTTTGTTGAAGTCTACACTACCATACCACTCAGAATCACAGAGCCACATTTAGTCACACCTCTCAGAGTGTTTTTTTTTTAAGCTGCACTCCAGCCCCTCTGGTGACTAGACGAGGGGTTTTTGTTTTTCTTTCTCTGAAAAGCTTCATAAACGTGGACAAACTGGTGAATTTGTGCTCTTCTCAGTGGTACCAGTGTGGTCTTCACATGAGCCCTGTAGCTTGCCTAGGTCTGCTGATACAGAATCGGGGGCACTGATCAACAAACCCAAACAAAATGTTAAATAAAAAAAAGAAATCAAATACAGCGGCCACAGAAAACATTCCTACCATGTTTTCCAAATGGGAAAGAACACATTAGAATGCAGGCGGAGGAGTGTCGGCAGCACAATGATCTCGGGGCGTTATCTTTATATCAGGGGGGGGAAGAAATAGCAACAGATCCGCTGGTGTAATCTTAACATTACGTCAGGACCGATCATTGTGAGGCGGTAACGTGACACTCCAGCACCTTGTCAGCGATAATGCCACGTTACGATGCAGGGATGAGGCACGAGGAAATGGGAAGTCGCTGGACCTCAAAATCCCCTCGTGGGAAAGAAGCAAAAACTTCTCTATTTGTGAAAAACAAAACAGAAAAACCCAAAAGTTTTCTTTCTTTTTTTTTTTCATCCCTGGGCATTATCGGAACAGAGATGACCTATTGTTACGGAAAGGTTGTAATGTGAGCGTGTGTTCATGACATAAACACACACCCTAGTGGCACAGAAAGGTCGGAGAGCCCGGCTTTTGATTCCCATGTTGTGGAAAAGAAATAAAGAAATCGAGGGAAGTGGGGGGAGGGGGGGCTAGTGTAGCTGCAAAAAATGGGGGAAATGAAAAGAGTGGGACAAATGAATGTGTGGTTTTAATTCTGGTTTTAAGGGGTTAAAGAAAAGAACGTGGGCGTAGTTACAGTCCCAGTTTTTTATGTAATTTCTCAGCCTAAAATTTAGGCTGCTAATGGGTGGACGGGTGGAGCAAAGGGGGGGATATATAAGTATATATATAAATATAAGTGCATTACACACATTGCTAACATTTGGTGGTCTGGTACTGAAAGCTTTGGCTTCTCTAACCTTTCTCAGCCGCTTTTCCTGCTGCCTGCTTGTCCTTCTCAGCAGCGGCAGGGTCCTCCCTCATCAGCGGCGAGGTGAGAGAAATCGTCACCTGCATTTTGGGCTCCTTGCTTGAAAATATGACGATGTTCGCCTCCTCGGGGTGAGCCTGCACCTCATACTGATCTTCAGAAAATGTCTGCCGGTTAAAAGGACACTTGGGATTACTCACTACAGAGGAGGAAGGGTGTAGGAGGGGCAGAGAATGGCCTCGTCGGGCAAGTTTACAGAAACGTTTTTTTTTTTAACTCGGGGATTCGGTTAATTTGTTTAAATACAGTCACAGAGACTATCTCATTAATTTGTAATTAACAGCATGTTTGCGGTGGTGGTGGTAGTAGTAGTAGTAATAAAATGTGGGCGGTTAAAGAGTCCCGTCTCACTCTGTAGGATTCAGGTGTCATAACCAGGCAGTAAATCTAAAGATCAGTGAAAAGCAGCTTTAATCAAACACTCGGCTAAAGCAGGAGGGAAGAAGAGTTACAGCACATCACAACCCTGGATTTGCCTTTTTTTTTTTTTTTTTTTTTTTTTTTTTAAATGGGTTTTTCTCTTGAGGCAGTTCAGTCATGTGTGAACATGAAAACAAATCTCTCCCAAAGCTGGAATCCACAACTTCTACCAACATTAAGCAGGGAAAAAAGGTTTATAAAATGAGCTTTACTGCGTCTTATACCAGCAAATATCGAGCCGGATATCCACAGAAGAACCCTCACAGTAACGGCATCCAGAGATTTATTCATGAGTACATGTGTGGATGCAAACTGCGCTTATTTCTGGCTTTGGGGACAATTGCACATGTTCACAAGTGACAGAAGAACTGCTGCAGCGTCGGAGATAAACCCAGTCCTACAGTTTTCCTCCTCTACAACAAAAGTATTAAGGGTGAAAACTTGTTTTTGTTTTTTAAATTCCCGTCCCTCTGAATTCAGGTCTTATGACACAAGTCATAAGATGTTGCATGACAAAGAATTATTTCTTCTTTTTTTAACATCAGCAGCACCTGACAACATTTATTTAACAAATTACCCTTTTTTTATGTAAGAACAAATTTGGTTTCAGTTCCTTTTTATGATCCCACAAACAGTAGATAAATGTGGTTAGAGTTCCCTCCCACACAGCTCGGACAGCGGACACCGATCCCTAAACGAACGGGGCGTCGGTTCGCTGGTGGGGTCGGCTTACCGCCAGCTCCTTGGGCAGCTGCTTGGCGATGCTCTTCAGCAACGAGATGGTGGGCTTCTTCGCCGTCAGCAGGATGAGCTCCACGTTTCTGTCCCCACGGAGCAGAAGACCTTTGGCCAGGATGCCGACCCGCATCACGCCTTTCAGCAGCCGGGCTGAGTTCTCAACGCTGTGAGAGACGAAAACAGACCAAAGAAACCCTGTTTGTATAGATAAAACTGTAACTTGAAGTTTCAACGGACACCCGGCGGCTCAGATTTTCAGTGGAGGCTGAAGGTTGACCATAAAGTTACAAGACTATTCCTCATGATAACTAGTGAGCTACCATCAGCCTGACCTCTGCTACATGCATGTTCCATACAAAGTGTAGCAACCCTTAGGCTTGAATTTCATTTTGGAGAAAAAACAGAAGACACAAGAAGCCACATGCAGCACATTTCAGTGCTTACTTGAATTGCATTGGTGTACTTTACTTATTTCTCATTGTCCTGTTCATTTAACTCACGGACTGGGGAGTATGTCCTCATTTTTTCTCAAAGAGTTATAAAACTAGGCACACTTGAGCAAACTGGACTTGAAATGTTCTGGTCCTGGACTGAACACAGAGCTCAGCAGTGCACATGTGCAGCAGAAGCTTCCGTAAACTTTACAGGACAGCTGGGGCTCAGGTGGTACAGCAGGTCGATCAATGATGGGAAGGTTGGCGGTTCGATTCCGCCCTGTGACCTGTGTCATGGTCGTTGTGTCCTTTGGCAAGACGCTTCACTGTAAATGTGTATGAATGGATTGTTTGAGGTGGTGGTCGGAGGGCAGAATGGCAGCCACGCCTCTGTCAGTCTGCCCCGGGGCAGCTGTGGCTACAACCGTAGCTACCACCACCAGAATGAAAGTGTGTGGATGAATAACTGACAGTGTAAAGCGTCTTTAAGTGTCTCGAAAAGTGCGATATACATGATCAATTATTATTATTTAAGTTTCTAACCCCTGGAAAGATCAAGTTCATTGTACTTGCTATTTCTATGCTCACAAAATTAAGTAAATACAGCCAAATTTTAAGTAAACTTTACTGAATTGAAGACTAATGGTTATATTTACTTAGCTTTTTTGAGTGCAACTGGTTTCTTAGATTCATTTAAGCAACTTTCAACATTTTACAGTGCGGGATGAGCAGGTGGAGAGCGACGATTGTGTTGTTGAGGCCAAAAAAAAACTCATGCGTAACTGTGGTCAGACACATGACACACCGGAGTACCCACATGCCGTTGCACCACAGTTCAGGTTTAATGCCGCCAGACATCACAGTCATGGAGCACGACCACGTGACTGCTGAAGAGAACAGCCTCCTGAGGGCTGAACGAGGAAACGAGATCAGTGGGTTATCAGGTGTGTTGACATCTTAGTAGACTTTAAGTTTGTAGGCTGCAGCCATTTGAAGAGACGGTTATCGTCTGTTCAGTAAATTATTCTTCCAGAGACACGTGACCTGCTTAACGAACAGTCATGGAACTTCATAATCAACCTTCGTGCTTTTCTATTTTTGTCTGATGTCACATTTGCAGCTCCACATTTAAAACCTTATCAGCTATAAAAACATCATAAACCTCGAGGATGTAAACAATATGAGAAGATGCACATGTCATCCTTGTTTTGCTAACATGCCCGGATAAAAAAACGTGAATCGTCTCTTTACCCTTTTTCTTCTCCGCCTTCGGTATCAGCAGCGGCATCAGCAGCGGCAGCATCGGCATCGGCATCGGCAGGAGGAGTAGGAGTGGGAGCGGGAGCGGGAGCAGCAACGGCATCGGCCGGCGTCTCCTTCTCCAGCAGGGAGTCCGACACCAGCTTGAGAGCTCTCTCCGAGTGGGAGACGATCCTCTGGACCGCCTGCAGCTCCTCCTCCACCGGGTAGATGGTCGAGTGCTTGGCCATGATGTGGCGGTCGTCGGGGGAGTCGGGCCGACGCACACAGGACTTAGGAGACAGATTAAAGTCATTAAGAGTTTGTTGCATTTAAAAAGTCTCCATGATATCAAATTCTTTCTACAGACATGTGGACAATATCAGCATTTCCCTACATATAATACAACCCTGTGCAATATCATTAGCTTCCATATTCATGTGGAATCTTGTCTGAATTAGTCTGAATAATCTAAAACATCAACATTACTTATGTGGCACCTTTTTTGTGAAATCTAACAACATAACCATAAATTCTACTGCTGCAAAGCTTCTACATCTTTTGCATGTAAAAAAGGCGATAATTCTGCTTTACTGCTGAGGTCACAGTGTTCCTGCTTGTTCATGTTAATGTGGCGGCTCAAACATTAAGAACACTTAAATATATAATGCACTACATCACTTCCACTGTGTGCTCTGAACTCAATGAGCAGAATTTACAGCAGGAGCATTAAAGATTAAAATTCATGAGGCGTGCCTAATAAAACGGCCAGTGTGTGTATTTCTTGTTTATTTTTATTTATTTCTGCACGTTTCCCCTTTAGCACTGCAAATGTTCCCGCTGTGGGACCTTTCAAAGCTTCTCTAATCTGAATTACTGCACATAAATTCAATAAAGAGGAAAAGGCTGCAGCTGCATCGCTCACCAGTAGGGGGGGCACCGGCATGCCGGGGCGGCTCATCAGAGGCGGAGGCGCCATCCTGCGCCTCTGCTCCCCCCAGTACATCTGCTCCTCCTCCATCCTCCTCCAGTACATGTCCTCCTCATAGCGCCGGCTGCAGAGGAGGTTAACGCCGTCCGTTAGAAATCTTTTATTTATTCAGACTTTGAGCCATTAAAAGAAAAATATTTGTTCTAATCATAGAAAAGAGCTTTTACACAAAGGAGTTATAGAGTGAGTTATAAGAGTGTCAAAAAAAGTTGAGGAAAAGAATACAAAAACAAAGCACTAAGTTGCATTTTTTCATGCACACATGTGATTTAACATCCTTTCCTGGTGTTACCTGTATGAATGCATCTGAATTATTCCATTTAAATCTGATTAAAGTTCCCTCCTGACCTCCTCAGAATCAGCTGATTGTTTTATATACATTAACTTCAGCATATTTAATGAAGCTGTGCAGAGTTTAACTTCCACACTACGAATGTTTTTTGAGTTTCAGGCCATTAAAGTGCATAAGAGTGGGTTAAAATCGGCACTTTAATTATTCTTTCTATCATTTTTCAGCCTCATAACTTCACAAGCACAGGAGATAAACACATAGTTCTGTTAAAAACTGCCAACAAATTGATTTTACATCCACTCCAGGTGTCACAATATAAATCTGTATTACAGGGGTGTCCAATCCTGGTCCTCGAGGGCCACAGTCCTGCATGTTTTAGATGTTTCCTTCTTCCAACACACCTGATTCAAATGATCAGCTCATCATCAAGCTCTGCAGAAGCCTGATAACGATCATGATCATTTGAATCTCAGGTGTGTTGGAAGAAGGGAAACATCTAAAACATGCAGGACTGTGGCTCTCGAGGACCAGGATTGGACACCCCTGCTGTATTAGTTCCTCATGATTTTTTCTATAACCAGCTGTTTTCTGATAAATCAGGAGAAAAAGTGCATTCTGGGTAAACGTTCAAGGCTCATGTGTGATGGTGGTTGATCAGAACAAGATCATTTCTACCTACATCTTATACCAGGATCATCTTCTAAACTATTTCATAACACAGGCATAACGGACTCTCACTAAACGACCCATCCTCCACGTCTTGTGCTGTTTAGTCGGTCGCCCGTCGACGGAGGAAACCTGCACATCCGACGTCAGAGCGGGAACAGGTTGAGGTGACTCATTCTGACCTCATCTCCATGTGCCAGCGCTGCTCGTCGTCTCGCTGCCTCTTCAGCACCGCCTTCTGCTTCTGCTTCTTCAGCTTGCTCTCCTGCAGCTTCCTGGCTCGGTTGCTGGGCTTGATCTCCACGGGAAGCTCTGGGTTCACTTTCTTCTGCGGGGAGACAGAAAGAGGACGACAAGCGTGAGACTCGTGTAACGACAAAGCAACAGAGAGTCGGAGCGCGTGAGGTCGTGTACGTTGTCGTGTAATTCCCGAATTCCTGCAGAGAGACGGAGTGAAAAATCATCGCTCTTCATCTTTCGTACACAGAAAGCCAAAGTTTGAAACGCGGCAGAATTACAAAGACAAAGTCCAATCTTTTCTCCCAGCAGCTGAGCGGCAAACATTTAACTCTCTCACAGCTTATTTAGTGCTTTAAAACAGACGATTAAATCCAGATTACATTCCTCACTGCAGGTGTCCATGAATGACGGTACTGAACCCCAAAACTTGGGTTGAAAAGAATGTCATCTATTAAGTCCTTCAACGACTCGATGCACTACCTGATCAGACAACTCACCCAAATCCAAGCTTCATATCAGGATATTTAAACAAAATCACTTTCTTCTACATGTCTCACCAATAATAAAGTGTTTGCACTGAACAGATTATGTCAAAAGTTCTGCACTCTTCGGCACATCTGTGAAGCTGCTGGTGCGACCGACAGTCTCCTGACAATAATTCAGGTAGTTTTCAGTTGAACTGCAGGCTGTGTTGACAAAGGAGGAGAGAAGCACTGAAACCAATTAAAATGTAAATAGCAAAACATCTAAAGTACGTAGGGCCACGTTTGTTTTCTGCTCAGTGTCGGTAAACAGCTGCGTGCTCTCAGTAAAACGTTGTTGACTCCAGATTTTTACACATTTTTGTCATAAATAATGAAAGAGATTCAGCTTTCAAGACATTTCTCTCTGCTTCTAGTTGTGGTTGTGTCGTTTCCACAAGGGTTCAGGACTTTATGCTGCAGAGAAAATTATCTCACAGTGAGAAAAAATGGGGGGAAAAGGCCTAAAACTGCTTGAGGTTGAAAGAATTAATGCACATGTTACCCCCTTACAACAGACATAAATATATGTAACTAAAGACATTTGCATTATAAAGTGATATCAGAAGAAAGTTGAGGCCAGTCGGCTCCTGAGAGGAAACTAACATCCAGATGTGTCGTTAAACCGACCTGCTGCTCACAGGAGAATGGCTGAAACACCTCATTTAGTTCAGCTTTCCAACCAAACAAGAGTGGATTTTTTTTGTCTTTTTTTACATCGTTATAGAGTTTCAGTGTGGATAACAAACTTTAGAGAGAAACTATATATTCTAAGCATGAAAGTTCCTGTAATGTAAAACACCAGAGTCCATGACAGCACGTCTCTCACCTCCTACATACATTTAGTCTCTTTGAATTACCAACCAGGGAGGAATCCGCTCAGCTCCGTCTTTCTTACCTTGTACTGCAGCCTGTGCCTTCGTCCCTTCAGGTGCATGTCTTTAGCGTTGGGGTCGTTGAAGCTGCACTCGCACAGCTTACAGTGGAACCGGATCACTTTTCCATCATCGTTACGGACCTGAAAAACACAGATCAGGTGAATAAAATCCTGGAGCACCGCTTCAACACACACACGCTGCTCATTACGCAACAACTGGATTTTTTTGTTTTGAAAGATTAAAACAAGACCGTCGACTAGTTTCTGTAAAAATCTGCTCCGTTAACTTGGTTGCTGTAGATTCTAGCAACAAAACTGTAGGATGAAGTACATAAAAAAGGACATTACGGTCGTGTTTGCCAGTAAATAAACAGATTCATCTATGATTCACCAGCAGCAGGGGTCAGTTTAAGCGCTGGTGGGGACGTGACTACATCCTGCCTACCTCCTCCACGTAGTCATGTCCCACCGGCTGGATGTCCCCCTGCCCTCCGGCTCTGTCGCCGTCCTCGTCCTCGCTCTGAGGCTCCATCTTCTGGATCGACGGCTGCGTGGGCTCCTCCAGCTTTGCTGCCGCCGCCACCACCACCGGCGCCGACGTCGCTGCAGCTGGAGGTGCAGCTGGAGCACTGGTCGGCTTGTTGGCTGTGAAGAAGGCCAGACGTTACAGAGATAATTCACCAAATGTTGTTTAGAAGAAACACTAACAGATAACACATGAGTTACAGGAGAAATCACGAGTATTGGTTTTGTTTGAAACCGATTCACGCAATAATAAATGAAATTAAACAGGTTGTACTTTGGCTGTGATGATTAGAAATGTCCTGTCATCTGATTGGTTACAGCCAATCAACACTGAGGGACAAATGCTACTAAATGTTCTCTATTAATTAAACATTTGTCAAACATAAATAAACAAAGATTTGAGTTGGAGTTTGTGTTATTCTCAATTCTGACACCAGTGTATATAAGCTAATTATTACACATAAAACCAACTAAATTTGATAAAAGTTTCCACTTGATTTTTTATGTAGATTAACTTTAGTGTATTTAATGAAGCCAAGCAGAGTTTTACCTTCACACTACGAATGTTTTCTGGGTTACAGACCATTGAATTACATAGGAGTGGGTTGAAATCTGCACTTTCTAATTATTTTTTCTCTCATTTTTGAGCCTCACAACTTCATAAGTTCAGCAGATAAGCACATAATATTGTCAGGGCTGAAAAACACAATTTAGTTCTGTTAAAAACTGCCAACAAATAATTTTTTCATCCACTCCAGGTGGCACATATACAGTTACATGAATATGTAAGTGTATATAGGTTCCAAATGTCACTTTCTGTTCTTCTTCGTTATTATTAATGCGTATCGGCCCTGAAAAAAAAAAAAAAACAACAGCTATCGATCAACCCCTGCATACAATTCTTGAAATTTCTATTTGAAAAGCAGTTCGTCATCATAATTGTGTTAACCTACAGTTATTGATTTTTTGCGACAGGTTCATTTTGTTAAATATTGTCGGCCAATGTGCTCTCATCCCAACAAATTCTCACCGGTCAGACGATCGCCGACGTCACTACGACATCGTCAGCCTCCTGGGATTAATCCATTAACTTTGAATTCATCCACACTCTGGAATGTGCCGGGTCGAACTTATTTAACGTTTACGAAACAGCGTTTATTTCAAACAGCAGCTAATTTGTCCGAGTTGTCTTCCTCTATGATTACCAGTTGACACAGCTCTATTTTCAGACATCATATGAGTATTGGCAGCTACACAAATTATTTAATATGCTGCAAATGTGACCGTTTTAGGCTTAATTCTAATTTATTTGCACCAATAAGGCCGGCAGGTAGAGCACAGTTAGCTAATCTATAGACAACATGTTGGTTTTTCTGTCCAGCTGATTGATTGTAGTGTTTCAGTCGACCAAGATTTTCTTTGTTTGTTTGTCTGCTCCAAGGATTGGAGTCATAACAACAGGTTTGCATCTGAGCCACATTACCGGCTGATAAAGACTGAGGCGTAAATCTTAAATAAACTCAACACAGAGAAGCTAAAAGTTAAAAATTCAGGAGCGTGGGAGCCACCTGTGTAAAAACTAATGGACTGTGACTCATTTCTATCATTTCAGCTTATTTTGCAGGCGTGTATGAAGCGCTGCTATCGTCTGAAACTACATTTAAATTTATTCTGTTTGTGCAGAAGATGAAGAGGAGCGACTTCACCCCGTTTGTTCAAAGCCTCTGTGTTGATATCGCCCAAAAACTGCAGTAAACTATCAAAGAAAAGCTGCTGAAATGTTGTTTTTGTAGGTGTGAAATGTGTGTTGTTTAGTTGTATTACTGAGGTAAACATTAACATTTAAGACGGTAATCTGGATCAGTGAGTATTTGAGGTCAGATTGGGGATAAACGTCACCATTTATCTGCACAACAAACTTACAAATGACAGTTATTTTGGAAGGAGCTGGTTTCTTGATCGGCGGAGCTGTTTTAGCCGCAGCGTTCACAGGAACTTGTTTGGATGTTACAGCAGCAGTCGAGGTGGTTGAGACCGAAGCAGGAGTCGAGGAGGAGGAGGAGGAGGAGGAGGAGGATGAGGAGGAGGTGACTGGAGGTTTCCCAGCTGTCGAGGTTGTGACAACTGGAGCAGAATTCACCAACACTGGCTCGGTGGAAGGTATGGGTTTGCCAAGCTTGGTGTGAAGTTTCACCACCTTTCCACGGTTGATAAAGAGAGACAGAGAGAGAGACACGACCATGTAAGGCTGCTGACACTTAATCCCATCCCAAAATCCCTCAGGGAGGTTTTGTTCCAGGACTTGGCAGCTCAGACGGAACATCACATGAGAACACCGCCGTCGTGTCCAGAAATGAAAAAAAAAAAGCACGTCAGCTGGCGGCATTTTCTGAAATAAAAGCAAATAGGAAGGAGAGGGAAAAAAAAAGAAGGCTAAGCTAACCTTTTGGTGTTTGGCCCCGCGGATATGAGCAGCGTAGGCATCGACTCCGGTGCAGGAGACGTCACATAGCTCACAGCGTAACTGAGTCTGGACCCCTCTGGGCCCGTTGCTGGTCCCCGTCTGACCCCCGGACTTTAGGGCCGCTTCTTTTTTCTTGTGCTTCTGGCCTTCGAGGTGCTCACGATACGTCTAGAGCAGAAAGATCAAAGCAGAATGCAGGATAAAGCACCCAAAATGAAACCAGAGTCTGTGCTCCTGTATTCTTATATACATGTTCTCCTACATCCTAATATATTGGCTGTTATTTTTTTGTATTTCTTTCTGCTTCAACGCGCAGCACATTACAGCCGACGTGTTAAAACCCTTCAGAAAACAGACTCTTGTTGCTTCAGCTCCTTATGATTCGTAATTGCCTACCTGAGGGCCTGCACAGCTGATCTTGCAAATGTCACAGTAATGAAGCTGCGGCTGCTTGGGAGGCCCTTTGGGCTTCTGCAGCTTGTTCTGGTGAAACGTGGGCTTTTTGTACGTGTTTCCGGTCGGAGCCGTCACCATGTTGCTGCCCGAGTTGCTCCAGGACGAGCTGGTCAGCTGCTTGGGTGGCGGCTGGATGGGAGGCTGCGGCTGCTGCTGCTGCTGCTGCTGCTGTTGCGGCTGCTGCTGCTGCTGCGACTGCTGCGGCGGAGGCTGCGGCTGGGACAGGGTCTGCTGAGCCGGCTGGTAATAGGAGGGGGTGGATGCGGAGCAGTAGCCGATTGAATCATAACTGGAGTAGCTGATGCCTGAGGGCGAGAGCGCAGGAAAGAGAGGACGGAGAGTTACTCAAGAAAAGAAAAGAAATAAAAAGAAAAGAAAAGAAAAGGCAGCAGGATGTGGGTCAAACACCAACAGTCAGCAGGAACACGAGCAATAAGCTGCACCAGTTTCACCAGGAGGGACGGCGTCCAACCTGCTCGGACAAAGACGGATGACGAGGCTCAGCTTCACCTTTTAATTAGCAGCAAATCGATGTTTAAATAATTCCACCAAAGCTGAATACTAACTACTAAAAGGAAATTAGTTATTTTGTGCAAATAAATATGCTGCAATAAACTCGACATCACATGACAGCTTCTGCGTTTTCACTGCAGCAGAGTTAGATAACAAACCGTTGATGCATTTTTCTGTTTGTGCATCGAAAACAGATTTAAATATTCAGGTTAAGATCTCACAGTGTTATGTACGGCGTCACTTTATCCAAGTAGTTTACATGTTAGAAAAACTATATAAAATGCTTTTTTACCTGACTCTGATAAACAATAAGATGTCATATTATTATTATTGATGGACATGGACCAAACAAATCTAAACATTACAGCAGAGACTCTACTAGTGTTGATAATGATGGAGATTAATTTGACTTTAAACAGATTTTTCTATTTCATGTGAAGTGTTTTGTGGTTTTTGTAAGTTTTATTTATTTATTTATTTTTTTTTAAATTTCCGTATTATTAAAATTGAACCTTGTTTTTAGTTTTACTTTACGTGTAATATTTTGTATTTTTATTAGTTTTCTTTTTTGGTATTATTATTATTTTTTATTTGAACATTTTCTAACTAATGTTGTACCCCACTATTATTATTTTATGTGCAATATTTTGTTTTTGTTTGTGTCATTCTACATTATTCATATTAATATTATTTATTTGATAATTGTCTAACTTCAGCTGTACCCTGTTTTTATTTTTATTTTGTGTTTTTGTGCATTTTATTTAATATTATATCTATTTACATATATAAATAAAATCATTATTACTATTATATTATCATCATTTCAATTGTTTTTATTTATTTTATGTCTAATACTTTGCAGGGTTTTCTTGTTTTATTTTAACCATTATCAAATTAACTTTATAATGAAAGTTATGACCCCATTTTTGGTTTGTTTTATTTTAGATTATTTTGATTTTTATCACTATTAACAATATTATTTTTTATTCTAAAATATTGTACTAAACCTATGACCCTATAATAATTAATAATTATATATAATACATAAAAACACAACACATCCAAGGATTCCCGCTATGAGCACGCTTTGTTTCTATATTTATTTCATGTAATAATTTGTGTGTGGGGGTTTGATTTAAATTTTTTTCAATATAAAAGCAGATGCACCTTTATCACTGCTTTAATTAGTAACTCTCTCATTCATGAGCTGCACCATTATTTATATCTGCACCGTCCTGTACCTTATTCTACTATACCGTGGGTGTATTTTTATTTTGCGTGCATGCAAAGCACATTTGCATTGATTTGTTTTACGATGCAAATCAAGCTTCCGTCTGGTTTCACCTGAGTAGGACGTGGCCGAAGCGGCGGAGCTGAACGAGGTGCCGAGGGTGTAGGACGAGATGGGCGTGGGAGGCTGCTGGACGCTGGTGGACACCGGGTAGATGTTGTAGCTGGTGGACACGGAGCTGGAGGGCGCCAGAGGTTTGAGGGCGGTCACCTGCCTCTGAGGAGGAGGAGGCTGGTTGTACACGGTGGAGGGAGCTGGACTGTAAGCGCTCTTCACTCCCACTGAAACAGAAAGAGGATGAGGGAGAGGAAGGATGTTAGAGCGACGGAGATATAAAACATCCTCTTGTCCCGCAGAGTCTTTGGCAGGATCCTCATTTCACTAACAAATCAGCACCAGACACATTTCACACACTGGACCGTCCAAACACTTGTACCCGTCACACAGTGTCTTCAGGGAGGCGGCGGATTTGTGCACAATTCACTCTGCAGCAGGAAAATAATCCAAAACTTACAGCCAGTCTCCACAAAACTACAGTCTTATATAAGTATTCTCAGCTTTGAGGGAACTTGATGCTGTTTTGAACTTGTCACCTGTGATATTGGAGAAAAGGGGATGATGGAGGAACCATTTTCATCCAGAAGAGCAAATTTCAGAAACCATCAGTCTGAGAATTAAGCTTCATCTTCTGTTGTTTACTTTGGGATTTCACCTGCTTTCTGAGGGGGTTTAGTTCAACATATCCAGGCTTTGTTTGTGTTAGCTAGCTCAACAAAACCTAAAACCTCAATCAGAGATAATAGGTATGACAACGGTGGTTATCAGCTTTCTTTGTTAACCTTAATCAGACTCGAGGTGCTCCCATAAAACTCTTTTTCTGACGTGACAGCCACACATTAGAGCTCCTGTGAGAAATATCAATTAACTTTCTAATCTCGAGTTCTATGAGCTGCAGAGTAAAACTGACTTGGCAGCAAATCAGGAAGTAAAAGCGATCGTTGTTCAGGTCCGGGGGCGTGCATACATCAAAATGTCCACTGATGCCATAAAGTACATCACTTTAACAGCTATCAGAGGTTATTTTTCTTAAAGATTTGCCCTTAAATTACCCAACGAGTCCACTACAAGTAACGACTAATCATCCCAGCTCTACTGCAAAAGCTAAATCTGCAGCAGTTCAGGAGGTTTGGGCGTCTCAGTCAGGAATCTACTAATTACCTGCCAAAACGTGTGCAGCCTGTCAGGTCACCAACAAGTTTCCTGGCAAATAGCAAAGAGAATTCCTCGGCGCAGCGATATCAGCGGATCAAACTGGGTTTATAAAAAATGAATCAGCCTTTCAGTTTGTTTGATATGCTGCGTATACGCTGAGGAGGAGGCCGTGAATGTGCTCCGGCTGGGTGGAGTGGGATTATTTATTCCCAGTGCAGGAAACATTGGAATTGGACCAGCCAGCCTTCATGAGCTGGATGAAAGCGACTGCATTTTCACACCTCTTGCAATTCCTCAGCTGCCGCCTCGTGTCGGGTATTTGCGGGACCGAGCATCAGGAGCCATATTGTCGTTTGTCTGGTATCCTCCCGTTTTCTCGACACGCTACTCAATAGGTTCGGTTCATACGCTGACTACAAGTTCCTATTGTTCCTGAAGCCCGCAGCAGTTTCTTGGTGTTTTCTGCTCCTTTAATACCAACGAAACAGTCCTGCACCTCCATGGAAACAACACAACGATAGGTTAACATGTCATTTGTGCAGAAACTGGTGAAAGCAAACAGGTTCTACTTTGGCAAATTTTAAACTGCGACATATTGAATCAAGTGATTTCGTTTCCAGAACACGAAGCATGAGGCGCGAGTAGTTCAAGAACGGACAGAAAGTAGAAAAACTCAACCTTTCTGGCTCTGATATATGGAGTCATTTTACAGGTTTTGTAAAGACGACGTGGTTTTCAAACCTGCCTATCGAGTTCAGAGAGTTAACAAACCACACTATCCCAAACAGATGAAGCAGTTTGATGTCACAAAGAAACACACATAGAGAAAAAAAGCTAATTAAATTAGATTAAACAACCAACAACCAAAGTACCTGCTCTGTCTGTATCTCTGGTTGGACATAATTATGAAATAAAAATGGCAAGACTACCCAAATATCTTGAGCAGACGGAGAAGAAAACAACTTGTTAGCTTTACTTTTTAACTGCTTGGCATTGTATTCTCATTTTTTCCAACCGGACCGTCCACACAGAGTGGAAGTCGAGCCTTCTCTCCCTGCAGCCCTCGGGCCGGCTCTCTTTTTGTTTTCCACCAGATTGATCATTAACTCCACCGTGGACCCAGTTTAGGAAAGAAATCAGGGTTCCAGCTTCCAGGCAACAGCGTCTGAAGCCGCCTTTAATCATGAAGGATGTACGGCACCAATATGAGCAAAGAAAAACACCTAAAAAGCACCAAGACCGGCCTGAAGAGTCGTCTGAATCTGTTAAAAGCTCATTTTTTAGACAGCAGAGGAGTTGCAGTCTCACATATCCTGTTTTCCCAATTTTATTGATCTGGCCTTTGGTCCATTAACCAACTGTTCAGTGTTGGATCTCCATCAGGAATCCTGTAATGCGTCATTTTAACCAAAACTACAGCAGCTTTGGATCGACATACGGGCCATTCGGCGTCAAGTCAAACCCGACGTGTGATAAAAGTACAGATGCTCGTCCCTCGTTGATCCATAACTGGCAGCGTCGTTCTGCAGAGATATATTTAAAACCCAGTCACAGGCTCTGTAACTGGAACCAGCCTCCTGGCGGCTCGGCTTGAAGCTGCTGATGCACATTTGAGCGCGACTAAACGGAACCATCAGCTGATCAAACCAGCTTTATTTAGAGAAAACCCAACTACATCCTTTGGGGTAAACTTGTTGTCCGTGTTCTTTGACAGCGTTCGCTCTGGGAATGGGAGCGTGTAATAGATTAATCAGTTCCTAATTGGACACGGAGCGGATCGATCTTTTTTTTCCTATTAAACGTTTTGTGAACATGCATGTGGAAAGAATCTGCTCATTCATGACCAGCTGTTGTAGAATAAAACCTACGCTGGCCTGGATAGATTTTCTGGAAAGCATGTTTGAAGTGATGGCGCATACATGCATTCAAGAACTACATAATTAACGCTGTGCACAAAAGGGAATCAAAAAGCCAGAAGATGCTGCTACGATACCGTCATGAACCAGCAGAACACGTGGAAACACAACGTGAACATCAGGTACACGTGTTCTTTTCTGTAGATAAACATTTTGTCTCCGTGGAGCTCAAACTGGAGCAAACATCAGATTCTGTGTCAGTCAGCAGCTGGATGATCGTAGCATCGTGTGGAGGACGGTCTCTGGTGACGGGAGGTGGTTCAGCAGCTACCACCCAGAGACCAAACAGCAGTTCTGAAAGCGGTACGAGAACACGTTTCGCCAACATTCACGAGGTTCTGCACTGTGGATTCGACTGTCAACGCAGAGATCTGCTGCAACGTTTTGAAGGAGAACATTCAACCTGGACTGTGATGTGACGGCGTGAGTTCTCTGATCCACCATGTGCCCAGTCGACAACACCATCAGCGCTCTTCACCTGAACTGTGTGGCCAATTTCCTCTGTTGGATATTAAACAAATGAAAAACAACACACGAAGATCAGAACAACGGGACTCACCGGTCTGGTAGTAGTTGTCTGTCGGCGTCCTCTGAGCCGGAGCTATACTCGTCTGGTAGTACTGCTTGTTGTCGTACGTGGTCACGGCGGCAGGACGTCCGTAGCTGTAGTTGTCCTGCTGAAAACATTCAACCCGTGAATATCAAAGTCTATCACTGCAGAGAAATTTAACTACATGCACAGATATGAGACAATCCTGTCTGCCCAGAGGTCTGCACCACGAAGCGGGATCTGAGGTTAGCCAGATAACTTCAGGTTTAACTCTGGCTTTGAAGGCCGAACCAGGTCTGGAGGAGGTTATGTTTGAGGGGGAAAAAAAGCATTTATGTATATTAAAACACCTCCTGCTGACCAATCAGTTCTCCTAAAAGCAGCAACATTTATGGAAGTTCCTGCTGAACTTGGTGTGCCCATAGTAAGAGCTGGAGGCGACGGGTTTTCATTTTCTATCGGCCTTTTGTGGAGCAACAGGAAATTTAAAAAATCTAATTGTTAAAATATTTTTTATAAAGGAAATAAATCTATTTAAGTGTTTTTTTTTTTGCCCCAACAGATGATTTTGTTTCTTTCTCCATCAAAAGGATGATAAACTGAATAATAAACTTGAAAGAAGGGGAGACAAAAACTCACTGCTTGTTTTATTTTATTATTATTATTCTTTTAAAAAATTATTGCATTGTTCATTTATTTATTTTATTAATATTACACTTTTTTTTAAACTTCAGAATACTCTTTTGTTTTTGGTTCACGTCTAATTTTTCTTCTTCACGTGCTTTCAAATAAAAAAGGTTGAAAACAGAAACCATTTAAAACACTGAACTGTCTGACCTCGTAAGATTTGCAGGAAGTTTAATTATCAGTGTGAAAAGTCTTTTCACAGTTGTTTGCTACAGAAACAGTCGAACACCACCGGGGCTGCAGCTAAAAGAATAAAAACTGTCTCGTTCTTCACATCTGCATGAAAATATTACTTGTTTTTGCATCCTTTACATAATTCATCTTGTTGTGACACCATAAAGGATCGTCTTTAACCCTAATATATAATCTCATGATGATAATTTAATAAGAGACCCACATCTGAGCTACTTATACGCAGCAGCTGTGTTGGTTTTATTCTATTTTTTTAAACCCTCATATTGATTTGAGTTTATATTTTCCTCTCTGCGTTTCTGATTTGTTCTCTGCTGCCAGCTCCGCCTCCTTCATGTGAACATATCTAGATTCAGAACCCCTGCGTTGACTTATCGGGTCGCCCCAGGCGGCGGTTGTTCGGTTTAGTGAAGCCAGATAAGATATTCTGGTTATGTTGAACCTGCTTCGTAGTACGGACCTCTGGTGTCGTAGCGGCTCTAAACGAAGCCTCAGAACAAATCTAACAGCATGCAACATGAAACCGAGAATCAGAAATCATAAAAAGAGAGACTGACCGTGTCCGAGTATACCTGGTACGTCTGAGGGGTGGTGGTGGGCTGCGGGGGGTCCGGCTGCCTGTAGGTGTAGTCTGGAGGTGCCTGGTGGCTCTGGTACGCCGGATAAGAGGCAGAGGCAACGGGTCGGGCCGCCTGGACCGGAGCTGGGGAGTAGGAGGCCGTCACTGCGTGAGCCACGGCCGGAGCCTGCTGGACGCTGTAGCTGGCGGTGGAGGGATGGGAGTAGGCCGGGGGAGGCTGGGTGCTGGGGGGGACCAAGACAAACCTCACATGAGTAACAGAAAGTTTAATAACACAATATCGTAATAATTTAAACTGTTTTATACGAACGTTTGTCAAAGAAAAATCAAACCCAACATTCACAGCATCGTCCGTCTCAGTCTGTGCAACACGTGTTCTGCCCAAAACGGTTCTGCTCGCTCGAGCATGTTCACGGCGATCGAGTTACCTACATTTATATCAAGCGCTAAAACAAACTGTTAGATCACATCACGGCTATTTAGATCAACGTCTAATTAGCAGCAGGGACGAGTCACAGAGCTGAACGCAAGCACAGAAAGAAGATTTCACTCAATTAAATGTGATTAAATAACTATAAGTAGACGTGGCAGCAGCGACAAAGGCTGAAACTAAAGATTATTTTCTCAATATTTTGATTGTTTTTGTCTGTAAAATATGCAAAATGGCCAAAGATAGAAATAGATAGATAGATATAGATAGATAGATATATATAGATATATATAGATATAGATAGATAGATAGATAGATAGATAGATAGATAGATAGATCTCACTTATATATAAATATATATATATATGAACAAACAGATGGAACTAAAAATGGAAGTAATAAAAAAAATAGTTCTGCTAATTCAGCTGTTATAAACTGTAAATCTTTACACTTGAACAGCTGCTAACGGGGAAGAATTCATTTGCTTAAAAATCACCAAACAGCTGTTAAACAATCCAACAAGGCTGCAGATAAATATTATTCTCATTCAAGATACATCTGCAGATTGCATTCTCAAATATTTTCTTGCTTTTGAAGATAAAGTGATGATGACTGTTTGCAAGATTCCCGTGCAAAATATTCAATTATCACAGAAGTCAAACATAAACTGAAAATAAACAGAAATAAATCCACATTTATGCTTAAACGTCACTGATTAGTTGTCGCCTAATTGTCAAGTAATCAGTCGTTAATCATTCAGAGTGAACTAAACTTCCTCACTAAATCCAGCATCACGCCTGATCAACTTTCATTAATCGCTGCGGCTGTAATTACGATTACAGACGTCACACGGTCGACTGAGCAGCGCCGCGTCCACGTCCATCTAAAAACAGAAAAACCAAAAGGTTGATTCCACAGCTGCCTCCTCGTTGGTGTTCCGGTTCTGGACGCTGCTGCTGCTGCTGCTGTCAGCGCCTTCATGAAGAGTCGAGGCGGCTAAAATTAAACGAAGCCTTCCGGTCATTAAAGCACGCACACGCTGCTAAAGTCATTAGAACACCGGTTCATTAGTTCATATTGATGCGATGCAAACAGAGAGACGACCAGTGAAACAAAGAGACGATCCAGGGACGACTCGTCTTCTCTTAGTTTCTCTCACTCAGCTGACTAAAGCCGGTTCTGACCCGTTTCTAAACATCGGGGTCCGACTCCATCCCCGATATTTCACCGAAATCAAACAGGAAAAACTAATCGATGGGTTTAATTGGCGCTCAGCTGTTGACCTACATGTCTGCTCTGGTTCATCGGTGCTGCAGAAAACAGCCTCAGGCCTCAGAGTTCGACGTTTTAAAGCTTC